AGGTGCATCACTTATTAATGTATTGCTACTTTTTCATCTCCTATTTCTCTTTTTCTACTATCTATTAATCATTTTCCCCCCAAAACCATTTAAGAGCTACTTAAAGATATTGTTTCCCTTCATATCTAAATATTCAGCATGTATTTCCTAAGAACAACAGGTATTCTTGTATGTAACTATATAATATCCACACTAAAGAAATTTAATGTAAAATTCTACTAACAATCAGTTCATATTTATATGTCTCCAATTATCCCAATAATATCCCTTATATCTTATTTTTTTTAATCCAGAGTATAATCAAGAATCATACATTGCATTAGTTGTCATGGCTTGCTAGTCTCCTTTAAAACAGTTCCCCAGGCCGGGTGTGGTGGCTCACGCCTGTAATCCTAGCACTCTGGAAGGCTGAGGCGGGAGGATAGCTTGAGCTCAGGAGTTCAAGAGCAGCCTGAGAAAGAGCAAGACCCCATCTCTACTAAAAATAGAAGAAATTAGCCAGAAAACTAAAAAATATATAGAAAAAATAATTAGCCAGGCATGGTGGTGCTATGCCTGTAGTCCCAGCTACTCGGGAGGCTGAGGCAGAAGGATTGCTTGAGCCCAGGAGTTTGAGGTTGCTGTGAGCTAGGCTGACGCCACGGCACTCTAGCCTGGGCAACAGAGTGAGACTCTGTTTCAGAAAAAAATAAAATAAAATAAAACAGTTCCTCAGCATTTTTTTTTTTTTTTGTCTTTCATGATATTGACATTTTCTAAGAATCCAAGCCAACTCTTTTGCAGAGGGTCTCTCAATTTTGGATTTAACAAATCATTTCCTCATCATTAAATTCAGGTAAAAAATTTTAATTTGGAGGACAAAAATACTACACAGGTAATTTATCCTTCTATGCATCACATCATGCTGTATATAATGTCAGTTTGTCCCATCAGTGGTGACATCAAGTTTGATCATTTGAATAAGGCAGTGTTGGCCAGATTTTTCTATTATAAAGGTTAAGTATAATCTCTGAGGTGATAATTGAGGCTCTACAAATATCTCGTTCCCCACCTTTTGTTCCACAAATGGCTCTAGCATCCACTGATGATTCTTGCATGAATCAATTATTACAATGGTGACTGTAAAACAATGATTTTATATTTCCATTATTCCTTCTACATGTATTAGTTGTCATTTTTCTATATCTAAAAAAGTTCTTCTGCCAGGCATGGTGGCTCATGCCTGTAAATTCCAGCACTTTGGGAGGCCACGCAGGAGGATCTCTTTTGAAATATTCACAATAGCAAAGGGAATAAGGATATTCTGATTGGCCTAGCCAAAGGGATGATCCCACCCACATTATGGGTTGTGGGAGCAGTGAGCCACAATCCAGTCCTATGACATTGGTCTTCTCTAAGAGGAATTCTATACCAGTGAAGGGAGGGGAGGGAAAGTATTATTTTCAGAACTTTTTCTATCCATTTACATATGTACCATATATTCCTATATAATATTTTTGTTCTTTTAAAAACTTTAAAAAACAGATACCACACTCTACCTAATTGTTCTACAATGTGCTTTTCTCCTAATAATAGTTTAGAGAGTTACTTCCATTTCAGTAATATAGCTCTACCTCATTTATTATCATTATTGTGGTAACATACACATAACAGAAAATCTACAATCTTAACCATTTTTAAGCATACGTAGGTGGCTCATTCATACTGTTGTACAACCAATCTCCAGAACTCTTTTCATCTTGCAAAACTGAAACTCCATACCTATTAAACAATTCTCCATTCCCCACTTTCCCCAGTGCCTGGCAACCACCCTTCTACTTCCTGTTTCTGTAAATTTGACTACTCTATGTACTTCATATAAATGGAAATCATACAGTATTTGTCTTTTTGTGACTGCCTTATTTCACTTGGCCTAATGTCCTTGAGGATCATCAATGTTGTAGCAAGTGTCAGAATTCCCTTCCTTTGTAAGGCTGAATCATAATGCATTGTGCATCTATACCACATTTTGTTTATCTATTCATCCATTGATGGCACTTGGGTTGCTTCCACCTCTTGGCTATTGTGAATAATGCTGCAATGAACATGGGTGTGCAAATGATCTCTTTAAGATGCTTTTGATTCTTTTGGATGTATCTCCAGAAGTGGAATTGCTGGATCATATGATAATTCCATTTTTAATGTTCTTGAGGAACCACCATAATGTTTGTGGCTGCACCATTTTACATTCCCACTAACAGTGCACCATTTCTACATATCCTCACCTACACTTGTCATTCATTGTTCTTTTATTTTTTAATAGTAGCCATCCTAAGTGGTGTGAAGTCGTATCTGGTATCTTATTGTGGTTTTGATTTGCATTTCCCTAATGATAGTGATGTTGAGCATCTTTTCCTGTGCTTTTGTCCATTTGTATATCTCTTCTCTGGAGAAACGTCTATTCAAGTCCTTTGCCCATTTTTAAACCTGCCTCATTCTTCTTAAAAGTTCATGACATTCCATAGTTAAGACCCTTTTTTTTTTGAGACAGAATCTCACTGTGTTGCCCGGGCTAGAGTGCCGTGGCATCATCCTAGCTCACAGCAACCTCAAACTCCTGGGCTCAAGCAATCCTTCTGCCTCAGCCTCCTGAGTAGCTGGGACTACAGGCATGCACCACCATGCCCGGCTAATTTTTTCTGTATATTTTTAGTTGTCCGATTAGTTTCTTTCCATTTTTAGTAGAGACGGGGTCTCGCTCTTGCTCAGGCTGGTTTCGAACTCCTGAGCTCAAACAATCCGCCTGCCTCGGCCTCCCAGAGTGCTAGGATTACAGGCGTGAGCCACCACGCCCGGCCGTTAAGACCCTTTTGGTGGACATTTAGTTTGTTTTTAATTTTTCAATACTATAAATAGAACAGTAAACATCCTTTTATATGCTTCCTTGTACACATGTGAATGTTTCTTTACACACACACACACATATATATATAAAATATTGTCCATGCTGAGGTACTTTAAAGTAAATCACCTGTATGATATCTATAAGTAACCAAAAAATAGAATTGGGCTCAAAGAATATCTGCGATTTTTGTTTTAAGGGATCATGCCAACAGCTGTCTAAAATGGTTTTACCTATTTACACCCTTGTCAGCAGGACAAGAGTACCCCATTTCCCCACACCCTTGTTATATATATTCGAAAATTTAGCTGGGCATGGTGGCATGTACCTACAGTCCCAGTTACTCAGGAAGCTGAGGCAGGAGGATCACTTGAGCCCAGGAGTTTGAGACCAGCCTGGGCAACAAACAAGACCCCATCTCTACAAAAAAATAAGAAATTAACCACGCTTGGTGGTACATACCTGTAGTCCCACTACTTGGGAGGCAGAGGCAGAAGGACTGCTTGAGCCCTGGAGTTCGAGGCTGTAGTGAGCTATGATTGTGCACTGCATTCCAGCCTGGGTGACAGAATGAGACCCTGTCTCTTTAAAAATAAAAATCTTCTAATCATTCATTTGTTTTGGGGAGGAGAGGGAAGTGTCTTGCACAGAAACCTATAATTTTAATATCTTCAAACTTATCAATCTTTTATGGCTTTAACAAAATTCTGCTTCCTAAGAGTTTTATCTAAAGGTTATAAATACACTTTTCTTTGTTTTTTCTAATGCTTCCATAGTTTAAGAAAAAAGTTTAGATCTTTGATTCACTTGAAATATATTGTCATGAATCATATGAAGTAGGAATCTAAATATTTTTTTCAAATGGATAGCCACCTTGGCATTATAATAATATAATAATCACTGACATGTATTGAACAACACTTACTTGGGCCAGGAACTGTTCAATTTCATCTCACCTTATTGAGCTTGTTTTGAGGATTATACAAAAACGTTTCAAACAGCAGCAAGGAAAGCACCAAATGTTTATGTGGTTTGCCTGAATCATAGAGACATTAACTGGTGGTGGAATCAGGAGTCCGATCCTAACAGAATGACTCCACACTATTTGACCTTCTAATACAATTTCTTTTTCCCACAAATTTGAAGTACCACCTTAATAATATACCAAATTCCCATAAATATGTAGGTTTGTTTATGGACTTTCTATTGTGTTCCAATGATCTATTTATCTATTTTTACTCTATCTTGTGATCATTGAAAAAATCTAATCTGATCATGTTATCTATCCTGCATAAAATTTTTATAATACCCTACCAACCTCAGGATCAAGTCTAAAACTTTTAGCATGTCATGTAAGGGCCCCTCCCTCCCACTTCCTACCTCTGAAGGCTCAGATGTGGGTACAGGTCCCTTTCCCCATGATTTCCTATCTTCTAGTCATAAAAAGCCTCTGGCAGTTATCTGAACAGGCCAAGCACATTCACTCCATGTAACACTGTGCCTCCTTGCTTTGGTTCATACCACTTGCTCTGCTTCACCGCCTTTGCCTGAGTTAGTGGGCAAGCACCTATTGATTTTTAAGATTAACTCTACTCTTTCCTTCCTCCCCAGCCCAAGTCAAAAGAAATCATTCTTTCCTCCTTTATGTGTCCGCACTTGCCTCTAGCACTGCTATTTGATTGCATTTATTTATTTACACAGTTTTTTCCCCACCATAATATAAATCTCTTGAAGGCAAGACCATATCTTATTAAGCACCTAGTATAAAATAAATGTTTGTTGAGTAAATCAATATAAAACAATGACCACCAAATTGTGTGAGCAATCATCAGAGCATCTAATTTACAAAAAGGATGCAACAATTTTATTTTTATTGTAAATCAACAATTTATAATTGTATAAATTTATGGGGTACAAAGTGATGTTATCATTCATGAATACAAGGTGGAATAATTAAATTGAACTGGTTAACACATCCATCACCTCAAAAGAACATTTGAAATTTACTATCTTAGCAATTTTGAAATGTATAATACTCTAGTATTAATATATTTACCACGCTGTGCAACAGAACTCAAAAAAAGAACATTCTTCCTGCCTGAGATTTTGTACCCTTTGACCATCATTTAAAATTTTAAATGAGACAAGATTTCATTTTCAAAATAGCATCCAAAAGTGGGTGTATTTAACCATATTCAGCTCATAATCGAGCAAATGGGTGAACAGGATAATAATTCATTGTCCTGTATGTCCTTAACAAATTGCTAACAGAGAAAGTTGGCTGAAGAAAGGCAGAGGAACACTGTCTTATAAGAATTAGAACCGAGGGGCTCCATAATCATCTGGCATCCGTTCGATATTGTATCTGATCAGGACAAAAAATTAACACTGGTAAGAAAGACGGGCACAGAACCATCTAAAAACCCATCCTTTCCTGACTGCAACACTCTTACCCCACTGTGAATTCTTTTGTCAATGGGAACATTTTGGGGGAACATGACAATGAATAATTTACATTAAAAAAATCTAATTACTAATTTAAAAGCAACTAATTAAAAAAAAATCTTTCAAAAAAGAAATTTCTTGCCAAAAATACTAGCTTGCTTTAAATTACTGCTTTGTATTTAAATCAGTACTTCTCTATTTCTTCTAGTAATTTTATTGTAACAATTTAAATGTCTGTCTCTTTCCTAAATCCTGTCTTTATCTTTTGCCCTTGTTATTGCTACTCTTTCTCATTTCTTCAAGTTTAACTATGTAAACGTTTGATACTATTTCTTTCACATCCTCTATAACCTTACCCCCGACCTCATTTTTAATTGATATCAACTATATACTTCTAATTGCTTTCCCAAGAGAAATTTCTCACCTATGGTTAGAAATGTACATGATAGGAACTCCAGGGATTTTCCGGATTCTTCGTTTAAGGTCTCGGTCAACTGTGGCCACAATGTAACACTTGTGCTGTAAGAGACACAGACTGATTTTCACATTGAGCTCACTGAGTACACTTAATGACTACTGGATAATAGCACAACAACTGACTAGTTTGGAGAATCATTCATTTTCACAGTGAGTAGCTGAAGAGAAAGTTGTAAAAATTTGCTGCATTACTATTATGATCTAGTTCATATTTATAAAATATATAACAAGATGCCTGGGCTGAATGTAGCCTTAAGAATCTTGAGGGAGGGAACAGAAAACTATTTTATAAGCTGCAAGGTGTTTTCTGTCTCATAAGTGGAAGAGACTTTGACATTTGAGGCAGGCAATTCCTGAGTTTTGGGACTCTATGCAAATACAAAGTGCCTTAGATTGGAGGGCAGCTCTCTCCTTTTCCTGGATCTTGGGGCTTGGGCATGCTCTGAGGCCTCCTAGTGGTAGAGGTAGCCTACCCTATGAGCCAGGAAGCCAGAATAGGATCTTCAGGACCTGAAGTTTAAGCCTAGTAGCTCTAAAAGCAGTAACACTTAGCTGTTAGTTGGAAGTTATTTTATATTGTACTTTACTTCTGTCATATCTGAATCTCTCACTCAGTTTTATAAAAAGCTGCAGCATGGTGTCAGCTGTGCTCTGGGAAATTAAGGGAATGCTGGGCTCACCCATGGGATAGAGTGGCTAAAGGGAGGGCCATGACCAGATGAAGATTGTCCTCAGCAGATGTTATGGTGGTGCTTGACAAGGAGGCCAGAATGGAAGAATTAAAAACCTGCTTCTCTGGGGTATGTGTGTGATAGCACCCTGGGAGACTCTCAGATATAACTTAGAAACACTTTTGGGTTAGGGATGGTGGACAGGAATAAAATTCCTGCAATGGGAATAAGTGGAAATGTAACTTTATTTTACACATCCTACATTAACTCACTTATACTATTTTACAGAGATTTGTGAAATAAAAAATCAGTAAGTGTCCCCAATCATACACCCAGTAAATGGAGGTGCTGAGATCTGAAATCCGTATCTCCTTCCCAAGCCTGTGCTCTTTCCATTATGGTTAGAGTATAGATTTTCAAGCTACTTTCTCAAGTAAATGAGGATACCTACGTTTCTTATGAATACATGCTATGTAATTTTTTTTAACTATTTATTTTATTTTACTGACCATGAACATTCAAGAGATAATAGTTTACCTTTTTTTTTTAAAGCACAAAATAAACATTTACAAACTGAGGATACCTGAGTTACTCTCTGTACTAAGCAGTCATCTGCATAGGTTCCTTTGTGTGTGCATGGTAATCGTTCAAATCTTGGATCCTTGGCAATCCTGTAGGGTTATTAAAGTGGATTAAAGAAAACATTCAAGCAATTGGATGATTTTCTGAATCTTGATCAGTGAAATAAAAGTAACACGACCTCAATGGAGATGTTAAAGCACCCCTCTCCTCCTAAAGCTTATCCTCTAATTGGAAAGACAACTCACAAGGAAGGAAATTAAAGCTTACTGATAGCTGGTGTGCCTTAGGTCATTTCATTATTACAAAACCCTGAGCCATTATGTATCCATTTTACAGATGAGAAGGCAGTTTCAGAGAAGTTAAATCAAGTTATTCAAAACACAGTTGGGAAAAGCCAGGATTTGAAACCAAATCAATTTTAACTTAACCATTTAACTTTTAGGAAGTTGTCTTACACAAATGTACACGAATACAGGCACAAGGATGGTCACTACAGCACAGTTTATAGCAGTGAAAAACTGGAGATAATCTAATATCCATCAGCAAGGTAAAAGTTAAACACATTTTGGTGACCCCATCAAAAAAAAAAAAAATGAAGTAGAGCTGTATGTACCAATGTGGATGGACTTATACTAAACTGCGGAATAAACAGCAGGCCAATGAACAATATATATATAAAATATGATTCAATTAAGAATACAAATCTATCTCTCCAATACTCTTTATCTAGATTTGCAATTGCCCAGAAAAAGGTCTGGAAAAATATATACTAACACTTCTCAGTTGTCACTCTTGGGGTAAGAGAATGGACAAAGTGTGAAAGTAGAGGAAGACTTTTACTTTTAATTATATATATGTTTATATTGTTTGCCATAAAAATTCGAACACATATTATTTTCATACAAATTTGAAAAAGAAGCCTCCCAAGTCTGTGATTCCTAGAGCTCTTCTCTTTCTATGGTATTTCACAATGACAATGAGTCACTGAAATGAAAAAATATGTGTATAAGTACCAAGTGCAATAAAAATCTTCCTCTATATTGCAGTAGTTTGCTGCTAGGTCAACATAGGTTGGGTATATTTACAAAAAAATGACGGCCGGGAGCGGTGGCTCACGCCTGTAATCCTAGCACTCTGGGAGGCCAAGGTGGGCGGATCATTTGAGCTCAGGAGTTCTAGACCAACCTGAGCAAGAGCGAGACCCCGTCTCTACTAAAAATAGAAATAAATTAGCTGGACAACTAAAAATATATGTATAAAAAAATCAGCCGAGCGTGGTGGCACATGCTTGTAGTCCCAGCTACTCAGGAGGCTGAGGCTGGAGGATCACTTGAGCCCAGGAGTTTGAGGTTGCTGTGAGCTAGGCTGACGCCACGGCACTCTAGCCCAGGCAAAAGAGTGAGACTCTATCTCAAAAAAAAACAAAACAAAACAAAACAAAAAAAATGACATGGAGATGAAATAAAATGAAGATGAAAGAATGCACCAAGCTATGTGAATATAGGCAGGTACCAAACAGGCATCAGCCACCTGTAAACTGGTTTGTTGGTGTTCACGGAGAGCGAGTGCAACTTTCTGGCTGGGGGAAGGATTTTCATGGAGAGGAGAGTGAAACAGGGCTAGAAAGAGTCTCTAACACCAGGCTGATGAGTGTGACAACATAGGTGATGTGTGGACTCATTAGAAGATTTCTGAGCGACAGAGTGACACAAGCAAAGCTCTATCTTGGAAAACCAAGCTGGCTATGGTGTGGAGGATACACTAGAAGGAAAGGTTGCTGAGAAACTAGGTAGGCAACAGTCTAAGATTTTGCTCTTTTGATTATCTCTTTACACCCAAAATCATTTGTTTTCTTTCTACAAGCTCTTTCCCAAAAATATACCAACGTGCTCTTCTATCTTTTCCATCTTAAAAAAAGTAAAACATCTTTTTACTTACATCACCCTCCAGCTAACACCCCATTTCTGCTTCTCTTGACAGCCAAACTTAGTTCTTCCACTTGGTGCCTCTATTTCTCACCTTGCATTCTTTATTTTTATTATTTTAAAAATTGTGCTCTTTCCCCCTTTTAATTTGAATTATTTCAGATATACAAAAAAGTATAAAGAATGCCCACCATCTAGTTAAATAAATGAAACATTACAAATAAAAATGGAGCCCCCTCTCCAATTCTAAGGTCTTTCACCTCTCCATAAGTAACTATTATCCTAAGTTTGGCATTTAGCATTTCCACATGTCCTACTAAGCATGTAAGATTACATATGTACATACAATGTAGTATTGATTTGCCTGTTTTTAAACTCAGACAAATGGTATGCTCCTGTCTTTTTTTTTTTTTTTTTTTAAAGAGTCAGGGTCCTGCTATGTTCCCCAGGCTGGTCTCGAACTCCTGGGTTCAAGAGATCCTCCTTCCTCAGCCTCCCAAGTAGTAGCTGGGACTATAGCAGCATACCACCATATCCAGCATTGCTCTTGCTTTTTTAAAATTTTGCATTGTTTTTGAGATTTATCCATATTGGCACATAACTCTAAGAGGTTCACTCATTTCACTCCTGTATACTATTTTATTCATGAACATTCCACAATTTAACCGTTCTTTTTTTAATGAACCTTTTGGCTGCCTATAATTTTTTGCTATAACATACATAAGAAAATGTCAATACTTCAATATATTTATGTGACCTTCCTACGGCAGTCACCTTTTTTTAAAAAACTAGAACACAGTATGAAATGCATTTTACCTAGCATAGAGTATACACATATATACATGCACATATAAAAGTGAAAAAGGTTTTGTGAAACAATATTCAACCTTTACTACATATAATGAATGCAATATTTTATAGTTTATTCTAACACTAATTGTACCCATTAAACTGATTTCACAACCTAAAGACTGTGATCTCCAGGTTGAAAGACAGTGTTGTAAGAGGATGGACAACCTTGATTTTACCAGATATTATTGCTAAGTTGCTCTCCAAAGTGACATCCAATTTATACCCTGAGTAGCTGGGTATGAGAATTCCCACTGCTCCACAGTCTCAACTATTCTTGTCATTGTCAAGCAAATTTTTAAATTTTTGCCAATCTAATGGTGATAAAATAGTATCTCACTGTGAATTTAAGGATTGTCTTTTTCTTATGGATTTGTAGAAGTTCTTTATACATTTTGAAAAGCACTTTGTTGATTATATATATATATTACTAATACCTTCAGTCTATACCTTGTCTATTTACTTTGTTTATGGCATCTTTTTTTTTTTTTTTGAGACAGAGTGTCACTCTGTTGCCCCAGCTAGAGTGCCATGGCGTCAGCTCACAGCAACCTCAAACTCCTGGGCTCAAGCAATCCTACTGTCTCAGTTTCCCAAGTAGCCGGGACTACAGGCATGCACCACCATGCCCGGCTATTTTTTCTATATATATTTTTAGTTGTCCAGCTAATTTCTTTCTATTTTTTTAGTAGAGACGGAGTCTTGCTCTTGCTCAGGCTGGTCTCGAACTCCTGAGGTCACACGATCTGCCCGTCTTGGCCTCCCAGAGTACTAGGATTACAAGCGTGAGCCACCGCGCCCGGCCTATAGCATCTTTTATTATATAAAAATATTCAATTTCAATATAGTCAAAAGATTAGTTTTCCACTATGGTATTTCTTATAAATTTCTGCTCACCCCCAAATCATTAAGATGTTTTCTATAACATATTTTATACTAAGAGTTTAGATAGTTAATCCAACTGGAATTGATTTTTATATAAGTGAGATAAAGATAAAATTTTATTTCTTTCCACAGGGATAATCAATCACTTTCCCACTGATTTAAATAATTCTACCACTCTAATAAGTTCCATTTTCTTTTGCCTATAAGAAAATACTTTTAGGCCGGGCGTGGTGGCTCACGCCTACAATCCTAGCACTCTGGGAGGCCAGGGCAGGTGGATCATTTGAGTTCAGGAGTTCGAGACCAGCCTCAGCAAGAGCGAGATCCCATCTTTACTAAAAAAAATAGAAAGAAATTAGTTGGACAACTAAAAATATATATAGAAAATAATTAGCCGGGCATGGTGGCGCATGCCTGTAGTCCCAGCTACTCGGGAGGCTGAGGCAGTAGGATTGCTTGAGCCCAGGAGTTAGAGGTTGCTGTGAGCTAGGCTGACGCCACAGCACTCTAGCCAGGGCTCTGTCTCAAAAAAAAAAAAAAAAAAGAAAATACTTTTAGATATATATAAAATTCACTAACTATAAAGTTAGTTAAATGAGTTTTGACAAATTTATATATCCATGTACCTGCCTCCACAATTGAGATGTAGAACATCTCCATTACCACAGAAAGTTCCCTGTACCCCCTTGCAGTAAATATCCTTTTCCTAGCCTTGGCTCCAGGCAACGATTCATCTGTATTCTTTCCTAGAATTTCATATAAATGGAAATCCACTTCTGGAGTGATAGAAATGTTTTAACTAATGAGTATGACGGTAGTTTCACAACTGTATACATTTGCCAAACCCATCAAATTATACAAGTAAAATTGATGAATTTGATAGTATGTAAATTACACCTCCATAAAGGTGACCCCCCCACCCCCCAAAAAAATCCACTGGTCTCACTCAAGTGATTCTTTTCTTTTTTGTTTTTTTGGGGGGGCAGAGGGGAACAGAGTCTTGCTCTGTTGCCCAGGATAGAATGCTATGGTGTCACCCTAGCTCACAGCAACCTCAAACTCCTAGGCTCAAGGGAACCTCCTTGCCTCAGCCTCCAGAGTAGCTGGGACTACAGGCACAAACCACAACATCTGGCTAATTTTTTTTATTTTTAGTAGAGACGGGGTCTCACTCTTGCTCAGGCTGGTCTGGAACTCCTGACCTCAATTGATCCTCCCACCTCAGCCTCTCAGAGTGCTAGGATTACTGGTGTGAGCTACTGAGCCCGGCCCTGGTCTCACTCAAGCGATTCTGTACTTTGTGTCCTTTATTTACGTATGATTTGTAATATCAGGCGTTAATCATTTGGAAAATATTAATTCAGTGAGGCACATAGATTTTCCAAATATTGACACTTTTCATTATATAATATAAAAAAAGGAGCACACTCAATATCCCTACTGGTTTCAACAGACAGGTCTTTAGTATTGGCAATGTGATACAGTTTTCTAAAACTCTAATTTTCACCTGAAATCTTGAATTTTATCACTGGTAACAAATTGAGTTGTTTTCCTTGAAGTGACAGGCTCACTGCCATTAATTTTTGAGAAAATATCTGCCAGATATCAAAGTCTGAATAACCAGTGTTTGTTAGTTGTTCGTTCACGTAAAAATGATATTCCATGAAAAAGTAGCTGGTTTAGCTTACAACTCAAAACAAGCACACGAATGCTTTTCATTGAAACAAACTTTGTCCTTTGGTATGAAGTGCTTTATGCATACTTCACACTTCATCACAAAGAATACTGATGTGTACTGGAGGGTCAAGACTTAATAAAGTTAAATTTTACTGCTTCATCAAGGACATTCTTAAATGACTCTGGTTTTTTGTTTTTGTTTGAGACAGAGTCTCACTCTTTCACCCTGGGTGGAGTGCAGTGGCATCACTGTAGCTCACTGCAACCTCAAACTCCTGTGCTCAAGCGATCCTCCTGCCTTAGCCTCCTGAGTAGGTTGGGACTACAATGTCCAGCTAATTTTTCTATTTTTAGTAGAGATGGGGTCTTGCTCTTGCTCAGGCTGGTCTCGAACTCCTGAGCTCAAGCAGTCCTCTTGCCTTGGCCTCCCAGAGTGTTAGGATTACAGGCATGAGCCACGGTGCCTGGCCAACTCTGGCTGTTTAAAAAAAATGGCCTGTGGGTGACAGTGAAGAATACAATTACTAGCATTGTATGAGTTCACTGCCTTGATTTGTACTAAGGCATCAGCAGTTTTGCCATCAGTGCAAATGTCAACATAGTGATGAAGGCAATGTCTTTGCATTATTATGAAAATACTTTTGTGAACTCCCTGCAAAGGTCTCTGGGACTCATGGGGTCCACAGATATGCTCTAAGAACACTTACCCTAAATTTAAGGGTGCTTTCTGGAGTGAACTCAAAATTTAAAATGTGACTCCGTTAAGTGTGAGATTCTGAAGGAGACATCTAGATAGCAAACTAATAGAAAGACAGTTTCTAACTGGAAATCTCGAGGAACTTAAAAGGAGACCCACAAGACCAGTATGGCTAAAACAACTTAGTTCAAAGAACTTCAGCTTAAAATTTTCTAAACTTCCAATATTTGCTTTTTAAGTCACAAACAAGCAGCTTTGTATGATTTTTATTTAAACTAATTAGCCAAGAAACCTTGGGACAGCAAACAGATGGAGGTTCAAAAGAATCTTCAGTATACCAGTCTAGAACAAATCTAGTCTAGCTACTTCCTACCTGAGGGCCACTCGATACTTCTGCCCCAATTTCTCAATTTCAGCCATTACACAGTCAGTTATACAAGGAATACCTGCCAGGAAAAAAAAAATTAGGAAACAGAACTTGTGAAGAAATTACCTCTGAATTATATCCTGTTCAGAGTCTTTAAAAGCCCCAAGGGACTTCTGGAATGACAACAGAATTAGCACACTGAAATGAAAAATAAGAACTGGAGAAGAAAGAAAACCCTGTTTATACTTCAGAACTGCCCTGACCCCACACCACAGATTCCCACAAGTATCTGTCATACACATATTTGGCAAAAAAAAAATTGGATCCTGTGATTACATTATATTATATTAATAAAAAAGTTCTAGGTGGAAAAAAAATTTAAATGTGAGCCAAAAAAAAAACAAACAAAAACGAAAACAAAAAACCCCATGAAATTAACCAGAAAATGCAAATTTGATCACATAAAAATAAAAACCTTCTGTCAGAAACAGAAGAGCCAAACAGAAAGCTATAACAAAGTCAAAAAACTAAACTGGGAAAAATATTCTCACAAATTTGTCAAACAGCTAATTTCCTTAATATACATAGACCTTTTAATAATAGCTTATAACTATGTGCCATGTGCCAGACACTGTTAACCTCTATTAGGTAGCACTGTTATCATTATCCCCATTTTATACATGAGGAACCTGAGGCACAAAGAAGTTAACTAACTAGATAGCACATGGTGAAGCCAAGATTTGAACCGAGTCTATCAGGTTACAGACTAGGACCTTAACTATCATGCTATATTTTAGTTCACAGAAGAGGACATACAAATGGTCAATGAGACTGTAGATGTTCAATCTCACTCCTAATTAAAGAGATGCAAAAATCTTTGCCACCTAGTTGAGTGACAAAGAATAAACAGATGAAAAAACCCAATATTGAGAAAACACATATCCTCATACTAAGTTTGTATGTGTATAAATTGGCATAACTGAACATTTTCATTTTCATTATTTGAGGGCAATTTTGCAATACTTATGAAAACTATACATACCCCTTGCTATTGTAATATAGCTTCTAGAAAATGTATCCTAAAGAAATACTCACATTCTGACATAGAAACATATTCATAAAGATAATCACTATAGCCTTCTTTTACAATACAATAAAAACTGGAAATAATTCAAATGTCCAATAGAATATTGGGTTTAAAATATTAAGTATTTAAATAGAATAATACATAACTTAGAAAAAGAATGAGGTCCATCTACATATACCGACATAGAAAAATGTTCAAGATATACGTTCAATGTATGAAGCAAGGAGAAATCAATAACCAAAATGTGATCAATCCATACAATATTATTCGGTAATAAAAGGAAATGAAGTACTGATACATGCTATACATTGCATGACCCCTGAAAACATTATGCTTAATGCAAAAGGACTAAATAGTAAATGATTCCATTTTTATGAAATGTCCAAAATTGGCAAATCTATAGAGACAGAAAGCAGATTAATGGTCACCTAGGGATGGGAAAACAGGGTAGGGAGAGTGATGGCTAAAGGGTTGGGGGTTTCTTCTTGGGATACAGAAAATGTCCTAAAATTGACTGGTGATGGATATGCATAACTCCGTGAATATACTAAAAGCCACTGAATTGTACACTTTAAAGGGATGAATTGTATAGTATGTGAATTACATCTCAATAAAGCTGTTTTAAAAGAGGAAAAATAATAAGGTATGATCCATTTTTATTAATAAAATAAACAAAAATAAAAACATTATCTCACACAGATTATATGTGAATTTATAAAAATTTCCCTTCTTGAGGGAAAGCATTATAGGGAACTTTCATTTTTTATGCTAGATTTTTTTACAAATACATTAATACTTTTGAAAGCAGAAAAAGCTAAGAAATTTTAAATGAAAATACAATGACTAGAAGAAAAAACATTTGTAAAATAGAGGTACTAAGTCAGTGAGATCAGACAGTCATGGAATCAGAGGGCACTGTGTGCTTTAAGAAGATCAATTTCAGAGCCATGTGGCAGTGAAGTGAGCAAAGACTTGCACCTGGAGTAAGGAGACAAGCCCAGGAAGACCACTATAAGGAAAGGGAAAGTGACAGCCAACAGCATTCATGGACAGAAGAGAAACCTGATGGGAAGTGAATCATCCTCCCTTGTTGGACTATCAGGTAGAAATGGAAGGGACCAGGAGCTATGAAAAGTTTCTCCTCTTTGAGGCCTCTTCAAGGCAAGAGGAAGATAAAGGCCTTCCTTAAGGGATAAAGGCAAGCAAAGCAAATATTTAAATAAGCAGAGCTTAAAACAGTTAAAGAATCTCCTAGGTACTGAATTTGTACTATTCTTGAATATTTTTTCAACCTTTGCTTTGAGGTACTGTTACATAGAAGCCTGCATAAAGTGGTATTTTCCTTAATAAATTTATTTTTAGAAAAGGCACCATGAGAGCATTTAGCTGTATACATTATAGTTATATTCTAAGGTACACATATCTAGAGAAAGCCTAACTACAGGACTAAAGCTATCCTGATTAAAGTTCTCCCAGTTACCATCTAGATATTATTGGTGGAGCTACAGAGTCAAGGAAACAATTCACCTCCAAAGGGCCACATTTTGACCCTCTATCCATGTCGCTGATAAATAGGTCACAGCACTCCTGAAGAAGCAGCTCAGACAATTATAAGAAATGCCACAGAGAATATAAAGAGCCCATCAAATTTAGTGTCTTCCCCCATACAAGGCCATAATGATAGTCAAAGCACTCTGTTTTCTGAATCGTGAAAGTTTAATTATTCTGTCAAGTTTCCACTAGATTTAAATTCAGAGAATATGGTCATTGCTATAGTGACCATTGCAAATTAAATGGCCAGCGATTCAGTTAACTGGAACCCCACTTCCCTCTTTTAATATATTTGGATAAATATGATTATTCTGTATAAATATTGCAGAAATGTAAAAGTATGATACTTACACTTGGCATACAGACAGTCCATCATTGACTGTACTAAGTCCAGTTTGGCTTTAATGGAAAAGTTGATAAAGTTGGTATCAACCAAGATGTGGTAAGGTGGGCCCAGCTGCGTATTATATTGGAAGAATAAGCAGGAAGGGTGTTGGGGGCTGAAGGTAAAACAAAACAAGAACACAAAGTTAAGTTTACATTGATACTTTGGTAACAACAAGAACAATAAGTCTCTGCTTGGGACAGTTCACTATTGATTAAACTCTTCTTGTTCATTGGAAATAAATATTAAAAAGGAAGGCAAGGAAGTAACATTATATTTTTCTTTTCTTTTTTTTCCAGCAGAGGCAGGGTCTTGCTCTGTTGCCCAGGCTGGTCTCAAACTCCTGGACTCAATCTATCATCCTGCCTTGGCCTCCTAATGTGCTGGGATTACAGGCATGAGCCACTGCATCCAGCCGCAATATAACATTTTAATCTCAGGTCCACTAGAACATTTCACCACAACTTTAAAAAAGCAATTATTCAACCAAGCTCTTCCTCTAGTAGGAGCAGAATAGCTATGGGCACAGGAAGGTAGAACACAGCTATTACGAATAATCCTACAGCAAGTTTGCCATTCTCATAGGATCCTAAAGTGGTTGCATGGATTTTGGTATAGGAGAAAAGATTGTCCAGTGTTAGGATTATATACTGCAGCAGGGCCTGTATCTCATCTAAATACCATGTCTAGGTTGAATATGACAGTGATTCTAACTGTTAGTCAACGGATCAATATCCATCTGTGATAATATATCTATCACTAATTCAGGGCAAAATGAGAAAAATAAGGAAAATGTGGTGAGGTTTTCATAAAGTTAAATGTACTTATTTAAAAGGAACAGTCTTTTTTTTTTTTTTGAGACAGAGTCTTGCTCTGTTGCCCGGGCTAGAGTGCCATGGCGTCATCCTAGCTCACAGCAACCTCAAACTCCTGGGCTCAAGAGATCCTTCTGCCTCAGCCTCCCAAGTAGCTGGGACTACAGGCATGTGCCACCATGCCCGGCTAATTTTTTATATATATATTTTTAGTTGTCCAGATCATTTCTTTCTATTTTTTTAGTAGAGATGGGGTCTCGCTCTTGCTCAGGCTGGTCTCGAACTCCTGACCTTGAGCGATCCACCCGCCTCAGCCTCCCAGCGTGCTAGGATTACAGGCATGAGCCACCGCGCCCGGCCGAAAGGAATAATCTTTATTCTGAAAACATATGCTTACTTTTCTTAGTGATACAATCTCTCTTTTATGAAATGCTGCTGTGTTTAAACAATAGCAAGTATTTCTTTTAAAAGATTCTTGGCAGAGAAAAAAATAATCCTAGATTGTATCTCCAGGATTTTAGGGGAAATTTTATTGCTCCATGAAATTCAAAAACCTTCAAATCATTGCAATTGGTATGTGTCCATCAAGGTCACTTTCATTTGCATAGTTGTTGCAGACTTAGCAACAAAGGATTGAGTAAATCAGCTCAGTGAAAGCCTGGATTTCTAAGAAGTCTATGGTTTTAGAATGTCTCTTTTAGTTTTAAAGGAAAACTTAAAAGTTTTGATTACTCACACTTCTCTTTCCTTCAGCGCGCTGGGATCCTTCTTTTCTTTCTTTTTCGGTTTTAATCTGTCCTTTTCTTTACTAGGAAAAAAAGTAAATTAAATCCAAGGGAGAAGAGAAAACCACAGCAGTTATAATCTCATTCAAAAACCAAATGTTCCAGTGTTTTTTGTCTACAGAGATAATCCTATTTTGTGACTTTTTTATGTTAACATCAGCATACATCTCCTGAGCAATTAACTGCAGTAGGAAGTAGCCTGGAAGTATTATAATTGATACATAAAACCAATAATGCATAAAAATTGTTAATGGGTAAATAAATGTGGGTTATACTATCATTTCCTTCTTAGTCAGACTCTCTCATATCAAGGATCAAAATCCACTTCCAAACAGTGGGTAAATAAGCTGATAGTTATCTTCTGAAGACCCAGATGCTTTAACAGTAGAGGGGAAAAGGGTTACCCCATATGCCTCTTATAAAGGGCTAAAATGCAAAAACACATGTACAAAATTTAACTTCTAATTAGAAAGAAAATATTATCAATGGGGTATCATGCCTAAAAATTACATAATAAATCCATACTAAAGGCTGAGAAGAATAACTCCGAAGGCTCTAATGACATTCTTTTGTTCTGAGACTCTTAAACACAAGGAAGATTAGTCCTTATTTAATAGCTATGTCTATTCTTCACTGAAGCAGGGAAGCTGTTTAGATTCTCTTTATAATAAGGATTAGCACTCCAGTTTCTTCTTCCACGGTGATTCTTTTACGATTTATAAAATGAAGATATCTGGGAGCTTTCCCATTTTCTCTTTCAAAAAATATTTGAGTGTTAGGCACTAGAGACACAAGACAAACTTGGTTTCTGACTTCACCATCTTTCAACAATAACAACATCTTTTTCTGGGACATGTAGTAATGTAACGGTAAGAACATAAAGATAATCATACCCACCTCACAGAATTGTTATTAGGTTTAAATGTTATGTGGTAGATAAACCATACAACAACAGTGGAATAGAGTGAACACTTAACAAATGTTTAATTTCCATCGCCCTTCTCAGTGTAATCGCTCAGCAGCTAAATGACTGTTACACACTTGACAACTATCCCATGCTATATAAATCGAAGCCACAATAATATCAGAAGCAAATAACAACAAAAACTTTGACTACTTATCCCCTCGTGATTCTTATTACATCTCTGAGTAGTCTAAGAACCCAGTTGATTCCGGACACTCACAGCCTCTGATCTCTGAGACTAAGCATTCGCTTCATGGTCGCATACTTCCTTGTTTTCTTTTGCTTCCCCTTGAAACAGAAGTTTTAGAGTTAAAAGATTTGGAAATACATTGCACCTTTTTAAGTCTCTTCTTTTCTCTTGTCCACTCCCTTCCCCTCTTCCCTCAAAATCCACACCCTCTCTCCACTCCCTAAAGCATAACAGGCACCGTTAGGAGAAGTTTAAGAGCTAAGACTAGAATGAAAATAAGCAAGAGGAATGTTGAGAAAATTTGGCCACAGGCTGACTCCTTCCATTCCCGCCCCAAATCGGTCTGACTACTGCTCCAACCCCCTCTCTCACCATGCTCACGCCACACTCGTTTCTTCCGGAATCACCAACGGCGCGACACTTTTACGTCATCCACATACTGCTTCCGGCAAAGAATAGCCTGGAAGCGGAAGCCGCTTCGGGAAACGGAAAAACCCTGAGCCGGTTCCCGGGCCAGGCAAACACGAACACTGGGGTATCTCGGGAAGGTTGGAAGGTTGTCTTCTTCTGAATGCTGCCGCCGTCTCCCAGGACCGCAGAGCTGGGGCTTCGCTACGCTGCAGTCCCCTGCTTGGGTAAGGTTTCTCTCCGGCCGGAGCGAGCCAGCAAGACCTGCTTGCACCTGTGTCCCAGAGAGATGGAGGACAAGAGTAGAGGGTTCGGAATCCTGGGTTGCAAGGAGTTTGGGGGAACACGTTCTTCCCATTCCCCAGCGCTGGGTCTTCGGGTCTCTACCGCCGAACCTTGAGGCTGTGGTCTCTACTTGGTTCTCCTAGCTGGCATGGTGCTTTGTGCAGCTAGGTGGACGATTCTCCGCGGGTATATTATAGTGTATTCGTCTTGGTGAAGAGAGAGATAAAGCAGCGCTTGAGCGCCTTCTTTAGACTATCATTAGAAAATTGGGGCATAAGCTTGACTATATTATGATTTACCAAGCCGGGAAAATGGTGGGAAACAATTGACATTTATTGTGAAGCCTTGGTATGTCATCTTTAAAGAAAAGAGAGAATTTGTGAGAACAAGAAGGGAAAGGTAACTTACTCTTTTTTGAGTGTCTTCTGTGTACTCCAGTGGTTCTTAACCTTTTGGTGATCACGTACCTCTTGACAGTTTTTGCAAAACCAGGAACAATTCTTTTAAAAATGGGCCCATACACACACAATTTGTGATACAGTTTATGAGCCTGGTGGACTCTGAGGCCCATCCCTGGACCCTTTAGGTGTCTGTAAACTTCAGGTTAAGAACTCCTATCCTGTACACTGCACTTGGCACTTTATTCATATTACCTTCTTTGACCTTCGCAATAACTTAAGTACCCTCATTTTACATATGGGGAAGCTGAAGCCCAGATTTTGTTCATGGATCTGTTTGGGTCTGTTTGATCTCAAAGCCTGTATTTTCCTTATTGCACGATGCTATCCTAGTGTATGGAAGCCAAAAAGATTATCAGGTTAAAAAAAAAAAAAGGAGGTCATCATATAGCCCTTACTGTGAAACATGGCCTATGGATTAATATGAACTTCGGAGTCAGACTGCTCTGCCTCGTACTAGCTATATGACATTGCACAAATTAATCTGCGCCTCAGTTTCTTCATCTGTAAAATGGAGATAATCCTAATAGTACCTGTCTGATGGGAGCTCTAGCAGGACTTATGTTATCCTATCATAGTTAAAATGAGAAGTGCTTAGAACACATTATCATAAAGTAAACCCAGGTTTTTCTATTACTATCAATGTGTGTCTACCAACTTAAGAGTATGTAGTAGAATTGTAATTTTATGCCGATTGTATTTTAATATAGTTGCACTAGAACTTGAATTAATAAACTGCAGAAACTTTATTAAGTTTTCACATCCTGAAAAGCTCAATTGCGGGTGATTTCTTCCTGTTGAGTTGAGTGTAGGCATACTGGTTTTCTGCTTCTCCTTTCTGTTTGGGCATGCATGCATTTAGATAGCTTGTAGTTCACATATCTGTAGGCTCGGAATTTTCGATGTTGAAATAGTTTTATTATGGAAGCATCTACAGATACTGTATGTGCCTCCTGCTTTACCCCATTTGAGGTCACTAGAAGTTCCTAATCTTTTGAAACAGCTTGTCTCTGCCAAGGTATCATTTGTGGGTAGAGCTAACAGCAGCCACTTTTTGGATGCACTTTTTGGTGATTAGGCAATACACTTTTTAAGTAAACATAGTCAGTTATTTTTTTAAACATATGGGGACTGATTAGTATTTAGTATTATATATAGATTCAGAGGGAAAATTGCATGTGAAGTAGTAATTTGCATTTCAATTCAGGCACCGACAGAAAAATACTCTCCTCTTTATGTGTACCTGAAGTTGGAATCCATGAACAATAACAATTTTTAAAAAAAAACACTTTGTAATTTCTATTCTGAGAATTTTCTGATTTCCTTGATGGTTAATACATGATAGGGAGCTAAATTAATGTTGGAACACCATGGGGGATGAGAACATACTTAGAAAAATATGTTTTTGTTGCCTTGTAATTGTATTGCAATCTGAGATTTAAAGTACTCAGGTACTGTATAGCATTCTTTGATGGGATTGGGAAAGGGGGAGGTGGTGTTGGATGGGAGCAGAAAGTAATTGCTTTTGGGCACATACTTGTGTGGAAAAGAAATGATTTTAGTCCTTCTCAGCAGTCAAGAGGGTTGTTTTGTATTTTTCTGCAGTCTTAAAGAGAAAAAATTGCTCAAGGTATTGGACCCACAGTTTGAACACATAATTGGGCTTGGACTTCATTCCATTCACTAATTGGTCTAGCTTACTAATTTAAGTTGATAAATTTCTTGATAAAATTATGCATAATGAAAGATTTCCTAAAGAACATCTTGTATTTCAATGTTAGAAAGTTATAGGTAGATTCACATTTGTAGCCATCAAGAGAAAAAAAATTAATCTGAAGATACTTTCTCCATTTTCAAGTTACAGTTTTTACATTTATTGTTATAACTTATATGACATGGCTTTTTTCCCCCAGCAGACATTCGTTGCTGTTAATTATTTTTCAATTAACTTAACTGCCTCCTAAATGCGATAGCATAGTATACAGCATGTTCCACTCCTGAGGCTTTGATATTGAATTAGTTTGTAAGGATACTTCAGAGGTAAATTACTGCTGCAAGTTCATTCGTTCACAAAGCATTTTTAGAGGGCGCATTCTGTCCTAGGCAATGTGCTAGTTACTCTTCAAGACCACAGTTCTAGGCGGGGTATGGTGGCTCATGCCTGTAATCCTAGCACTCTGGGAGGCTGAGGCAGGAGGGTCACTTGAGGTCAGGCGATCGAGTCCAGCCTGAGCAAGATCGAGACCTCATCGCTACAAAAAATAGAAAAAAATTAGTCGGGCTTGGTGATGCGCGCCTGTAGTTCCAGCTACTTGGGAGGCTGAGGCAGAAGGATCACTTAAGCCCAGAAGTTTGAGCTAGGCTGATGCCACAGCACTCTAGCCTGGGTGACAGAGCGAGACTCTGTCTAAAAGAAAAAAAAACAAAACACAGTCTTGTATTGGAAAAAGACTTATCGTAGGGGGCTGATTAGAGGTTTGTGAGTTGAAATATTCTAGAGGAATTACTCTACCTGTTCATCTTTCTGGTAGTGGTTCAGGGAGAGTTCTGTTGTGTAATATTTAATACTATCAACATACTATGTAACCCATCAGATTTTATGACCTTAATGGATTCTACTATATAATTTACCTTTTAAATGACTTTAGCTATTTACTAGCTTAGGTTTAAATTTCAGTTATTTTTCTCTGTTTTTTTTTTCCTCTGAAAGATTTATGAATACTTAGCCTTCACCAATATTCTTTTGTGTAGTAGTTTTCAAACTTTTGAGATTGTTTAACCTTATTGCAGTTTGTGTGTGTGTGTGTGTATACACACATGTGCACATCTGAGCCCTCGATATTGTGTTATATCACCGTGATAGTGTTTTCTTGGTGGGACTCTTGAAGCCTGTTCTACAAGATAGGGATGAGTATTAATAGAGAGATGAGTATTCATTTAGCTATTAGAAACCAAAAGGTCATGGTAGATAACATGTTTTGTCATTTAGTCTGACTTTAACAGAACAGACTTGAACAGATTTTTTTTTTTTCTTTTAAGAGACAGGGCCTCAACTATGTTGCCCAGGCTGGATTTGAACTCCTGGGTTAAAGTAATATTCCTCTCTCAGCCTCCTGAGTAGCTGGGACTACAGGTGTGCACCACCACACCTGGCTTGATTTTATATGAATTTTTGTTACCTTGAATAGTTGAGGAATTTGCATCATGTTTTTCAGAGCTTACAGCTAAAAGCTTTCATTTCAGTGCAATTTGCCTGTTAGTATTGAGATGCTAATAGTCAACATCTGTTAATTGTATTTTCTATTTACTGTACTTTTTGGCCAGAGATCAGATAATCTAGTAACATGCAACATACATTTTCTGTAGTGTTCCCTTGCTTTTATCTGGAGATCCAGCTCATGTTATCTTAACCCCTCTCTTGTCCACTTTGGGAAGTTCAAATCCAAGGATACTCCTTTGTGTATATGGTGAAGCTATCAGGAAGAGAAAGCAGTTAAAACCTTCCAGGGTTGATCTAGTTTTTCATGTTTTGATGAAGAAAGAAACCCAGCAGGGTTGTGCAAATGGTTTATAGAAAGGGGTTGGGTAAAGTTTTAAAGTTTAAGCCTAACATTACCTGAATTGGGGCAGTGACTAGGGAGACATGATCAAAATCCTAAGGGGGAGAGAGAATGTAAAGTGGAGGATCATATGTAATTAAAAAATTTTTTTTTTTTTTTTTTGAGACAGAGTCTCACTCTTTTGTCCGGGTTAAAGTGAGTGCCGTGGCGTCAGCCTAGCTCACAGCAACCTCAAACTCCTGGGCTCAAGGGATCCTCCTGCCTCAGTCTCCCGAGTAGCTGGAACTACAGGCATGCACCACCATGCCCGGCTAATTTTTCTACATATTTTTAGTTGTCCAATTAATTTCTTTCTATTTTTAGTAGAGACGGGGTCTCGCTCTTGCTCAGGGTGGTTTCGAACTCCTGAGCTCAAACAATCCGCCCGCCTCGGCCTCCCAGAGAACTAGGATTACAGGCGTGAGCCACTAAAAAATTTTTTATTGTGGAATAATTTTAAATTGATAGAAAAGTTGTAAAGATAGTACAGAGTGTTCCTGTATACCCTTCACCGAGCTTCTCCTAATGTTAACTTCTTGCATAACCATGGCACATTTTTCACATCTAAGAAATTAACACTGATACAGTACTATTATTACCTAAACTATAGACTTTATTTGAATTTCACAAGTTTTTCCACTAATGTCCTTTTTCTGTCCTAGGACCCAATC